CCCGAGGACAATAACGAATTCATTACAATTTAAAATCTTTTTGGCTGCAAAACGAGATCTTCCATGACGCTGTGAAAAAGCTATGCTCTCAAAGAGAAATTCCGTTATTTTTAAAATCCTCTAAATTTTAATTTGTTAATCGTTTCAAAGCCACGCGGTTGTATCTTACTTTTGAGAATTCTCGCAAACCTCGTGAGTTTTTCCTTTTGAAATAAATGGATCACTGAAAGGCAACGCGAACTAAACTTAAGTAAGCACTGAAAGGTTATTACTGACATAGTTAATATATTAAATACTTAGGTTTAAATTCTTGCAAATGATGGAAAATCCCATGAGCACTGTTTTCGAGTTGTTACTTAATAAACTTTTTCCCAATGATATACCAAAAACATTATTTTATATATAGATATATTTATATGTGTGTATCGCATATAGTTGATTCTCTTACTCTTAATAGCATAAAATTTTATAATTTTATATAAAAAATTTCAAGATTTCTTCTTTAAAAGAGCAGAAGCCATTTGTAGTGTTTACTTACGAGTGTATCAGTCCCTCAGTTCAAGGAAAATGGTTTGAAACCGTCCCTATGTTAAGTCTCGCGCGAGGCGATTGACCTTTGCAATGGTCATAAAGTTCCTTCTGCTACCTTTGAAGCAGCAGTAAAGTTCTCATTGAATTAGAGTTCTCAGCCAGTGAAAATTATCCTATCCCAGCAATTGCCTTGATTTCCCTCATGATTCTTCCGATAGAATTTTTGCCCATGGGCACTTTATTGAACCAGATATCTCCCTTAGGCTTGTGCTTGGGGGTGAGATAAAACGACGAGATACCAGGTGGACGGTGACGGAGGTACACCTCGAACGCACGTACGGGATCTCGTTCGCTTCCATCGGTGGCTGCTACCCGGGCTTTGCACTTTTTCTTGCTTCTAGGGTTGTCTTTCTCTTCGTCCGCCCTTGGTCTCTTGTTCCCAGCTTTCATGTGGTCAATTATGATCTTGCCGTCTGGGCCGCGAGAGATGCGAAAGTCATCGATGCTTAGGTCATGGTGGGCCATGCGTCCTCTTATTCCATGACTGACTGTGTTAATCCACCACTGGAGTCGTAATAAAGGTCTCGGTGCGTGCACTCCAATAGCTCCCGAGGCCCACATTCTCTCTAACTGCTCTTCGGTAATGCTTTCAACCACGTTTGGGTGGTTTCCTTTTCCTTTGCGCTTGAGCTCGTTCCTCTTTGAGACCAGGCCATAGTTGACTACATCGAATTCTCGATCGGCCAAATCGAAGTTTTCTACAGCGGGTGGACACTTTCTTTCGAGGAAATATCTCCTCAGACCATTTCTGTACGTTGTCAGTGTCACAGGTTCGTATTCGTTTCCTTCTTTACCTGGCCGCGTGTCGCGAATTTCGAGAAAGAAATCTTTCAACATTTCTAGAGCCATTTGGCGTGTAACAGTGTTCATGTCGATAGATTTGCCGTACTTGTCTTTGTACCACTTCTTGAGGCGACGAACTGACGTTTTAGTACCTTCCACTGTGTTTTTACAACGGTTAGCATCGTCAACATCTTCAACGTCGTGAGCGTCCGCTCGGTTGGTGCCTTGTGGCTTTTGACGGTCGATAATCTGAGGCCTGTGACTGCTGGGAACCGGGGAAAAAATTCGGCTGTCGTCTGACTTTGAAAAGCCGTGATTGTCCTGAATGGATTCTGGCGTATCAAAAGGCGGGAAGCCGGGAAACGGTCGGTAAAACTGCGGCGCTTTTGAATCGTTGCTTACCGGCGTTTGATGAATGTAAGTGTACATCGACTGAGAGGCTGGATCTGGGAAAGAGGGATTTAAGTTGGGGCCGTAAATCGAACGCATGATGTTTGGTTTGTTGGGCTGTAGTGCACTCGATATGCTTGAGATAGCAGAACTTGGATTTAGGTGAAATCGAGGCTCTTGTTCGTTCTTTATATTGAAATCCATAGGGCTCGCGAATGGCATGTCCCTCGAATAAGAGTCCGCTTCAGAAGTGACGGGGTCGGAGAAAAAATTGGACGATTGCAGCGGCGGAATCGTTGTGTGTAAAGAACTGTGTTGTTGTTGTGTGCATCCAAGCGTCGTAGTCCCCGAGGTAAGATAAGGTTCATTCATAGCGGCCACAGAAATGGGCAGCTCGTTGTCTCCAATTTCGGAGATGTCTTCTATTCCATTGCTCATATCCATGTGGCGACCGCCATGATCGTCACTAACGCTTTTGCTGGCGTAATCTCCGGCCCTGAAAATGTTCGAAATTGCGCTGGGAAAACGTGCATTGGGAAAGCGAGCATTAAAATTTTCCGGGTTGCGTAAATGAGGCGGAATACTAAAATCTTGACCAATGTCGAACGGTGGCAGACCAAACGTACTCATAGCACCGTCCATTCTTTTCTAACTTGAAACCTGTTTCGAGGTGTTTTACACCTTCATCCTCGACGCATCTGACTGACAGATTTCGCTTCCGCGCGAGTATTTATACCCCTACGTAACGATGTGGACAGTCTTTTAGTGGGCCCATTGTTTTCGTGAATTTATGTATTTCCTGTGTTACGTACATTTGCTAGCTCAATTAATAGTTAATGACTATCCTCTTGGGAGAAGTCACTTTTAATCTGTAATTTGCTGACTCTTGAAGTCTAAATCTAATTATATTGTGAATTCATTCAAGCGAACTATAAAAAGCAAAGTATTATTCGCTGTTCAAAAATGGGTGGAGCGTTATTATGCCATTGACAATTGGACTCTTCAGCGATCGTTATGCAGGCTGCGTCGACCATTTGTGGAACGCAAAAATGAAAACGGGCATTGTTTGGCTTCTAAGTCAAGGGCTTACGTTCTCATCACGGTTTTTACACCATGTAGGCTTAACTGTGCACAGGGTTTACAGCAAGTAAAGTGATCTCCGCTCGAAAGAAAGAGTTTACCTCATGACCGAGTTTAGCAAACACTGACAACAGGTGTCACGAAATTAAAAGAGAAGATAGATAACGTTTGCGTGGCTTCCGAAATTTATCACACGTCAACACACACTTTTATTGTGGCAAATGGAAATGAGATTCTTTTTAGCGTTTTCTACTGGTCGGCTAAGGTAATGGAAAAATCGCGCCCCCATAAGCACAAACAAGACAACCTTATTTACATAACGCACTTAGTATTTGCGAATGATTAATGACGACAGGTTGACAAGCAAGGTGTCGAAAATGCTCTCCTGAGAAGACATTATCAGCAAAGAGAACAATGGCTCGACTTAAAACTTTTGTGTCGAAACGAAATGGAAAGGAATGAATTCTAATTTCTCTCTTTTCCTGTGAACGTGCCTCATGTAAATGTATTGTGCTCCAGGCCCTCGTAAATTCATTCATGCCAAATTTCAACATCCGTACCTCCCAGAGTCTCAGTAAAAAGTTTTCGTTTCTTGACTAAAGTCGTCCACTGTAATCTTCAGTTTATGTAAAACAAAAGGGATTTTTCGTTAATTTAATCAGCAGTTTACAATAAAAGCGCCCAGTGGATTTTGTATATACAACAAATTAGCCATTGTCAGATTGAAAGTCGAAGGCGGAGAATGGCTATAAAACCCTTTCTCAAGATCAGATGGATTTTCGCAGCTTAGCATCAGCTAGAGTTATGTGTGTAAGCTGCACTGTGGTGATCCCGTGAGAGGAAAATAAACTAAAGTTTAGACCAACAATTTTTCCGTACTGACATTACAATCCATTTCCTTTGTATTTGCGGTTGTTTTTCAAAAGACACTCGTGTAAAAGCTGTCAGCAAATCCACTTACTCGGATGACTTACGAATCGACTTAACCTGTATGGACACCACGATCTAAGGTAACTAATGAGATTGTAATTCATCGCTGATTATTTCAGTTCACACGCACAAATTGCGGTCTAAACACAACGATATATAGCTCTGCGTTGGTAGATTGCTCTTTAGAGCTGAAATATGATAAAAATAGCCAGAGCCTCTGCAAAAGGTTCCACTGTTGATTAATTCGCCCTAGATGACGAAAGCAAACGATTAATATAGATTCCTATTCGCTAAGTCATCCAAATGGGGTCGAAATCATTGACCCTTACAAGTGGACAGCATTTCAGGCTCTGTAAATCACGCACGGCTACAAAGGGAACTCATAGCTCGCATTCTTGAAACGAAAATTCCCTAACGATCAAAAAGTAGTTCTACTTGAAGTAAAACTTGAAAATAATCATCTAAAATGCTTGGCCTATGTATAGGATCATTTGAGACAACAACCGTTGATTTCATATCCCTCCGAGGGCTTCCAGATCGAAAAGTCCAGAATACACTCTACAAAGTACTTTCCTAATATTAACAAAAAGTGGAACACAAGTAATAATGGTTTTAAACTTGTGAAGATAATTAAAAATCCTGTTTGCAAAAACTTCACTAGGTATCTGTTTATATATTGCAATACTATCATTTATTTAAAAGGCATTTAAAAGATTCCGCTCAAACTCAAACTAGATAGGCAAAGGAGCCTAAATTACGTAATAAACAGAACCCGATAAAAAGAAAAGTGAAGTCGAAAAAAGTTTAATAACCAATTTCTTATATGAAACAAATAAACAATATACTGGTTATGTCTCCAAAAAGCGTTGGCTTATCCTTGTGACCGGATGAATTAAGTCTAAAAAAGGACTCTTTTTGAGATGCGGTTTTTTCATAAGGGTGGATCGTGAGAATTTTCAAACCACGGAATCTGATGGGAAGATATGTACAAGTCGTAGGAAGACAATTTGACACAGACAATTTCCTGTAGAAAGAGGGAGCATTACACCACACAAAAATTACTTGCGTATTTTTTTTCTTTTCTTTCCAGAAATTAAGAAGTCTAGTTTTGTTTTTCTGGCTAGGGTATCTTCTTCATCAAAAACCTTTCCTGGACAGAATTAAGCTGGAAAACGAAATGCGGAGTTCATACAGTTCATATCCAGCGACAACCAGGATTACAACAGTTCACGCTGAACCAAACGAGCTCATTTTATTATTTGGCTTCCCAATATTAAAACAACAAAAGTTACAGCTCAAACTGAGAAACCCTGGGACCCCATACACAAGCCACTGAGCTGAGTCGAGGAACTGTGGAGTAAATGCACATCAAATCAGAATTATCCTACGTGACCTAAGTTATCTCTTGAATTTCTCACAATTTTACCCTCAAAACGAAACTATGTACAAGGAAACTCAAAACTATCGATACGGTCCTCGTTTGGCCCTCTGTCTATTTCAAGTAACTTCAGTAGAGCACAATATCAGTATTGTTTCGATCAACGATTGAAACGATGTCTCTTAATCTAAGGTTAACTTATGTGCACAATTTTACGCCTTCAGGCAACGGAATTGATTTTCTCGCCGAAATAGAGTCGACTATGTTTTCAGGTAAGTTTAACTGATACAATAAATCAAGCATTTCAAGTGCGAGAATCTTCAATGATAGCCTATATTTTCCGAGATTTTCGACCGTGCACTAGTTGTTGCTGTACCTTCGGTAACTGAGAGAATAATGCCCTTTTTCATACTTTCTTGATCGCGAATGCATCGTACGTGTTGTTGACAATCAAACAATTAGAATGAATACATTAGATCTTAATTGCGGTTATAGTAAACAGTAAGCGTGAGACAGTTAGCCTAAAGCGCCTCATGAAAAAGGTTTTCACGAAGTTTCGGTGGTGTCAAAATTGTATTTTTTTGGTCCGACTATTCTTTAAACACGAAATCTGAAAGATTAAGGAAAATTTTATGATAGGATACTTTTACGCTATTTAGAAACTCCTCGATCTAGACCCCACTTTCAAACATGATTCTCACAAAAGAGACTCAATAAAACTAAGCGGGAGCCCACTACTAAAAATTCCATACATCTATACAAAAGTCAGTTTTTAACCAGTGCCTTTTAAAAGCCAAAATAATAATGATAATTAAAAGTAGGAGAACATTTACTTCCTTTCAAATCTTGACTGTATATAGCCTATAAATTCGTGATTTCAACGCGTAGGTCGACATAATTAGGGCTGAGAGCAATCGTCACCAGACCGTAGAAAATTCCTTTGAAACTTCAGAGACTAGAGATCTAGAAAGCAAGAGAAAATACCACGCAGTCTAAAACACGAAAATCAAACCAGGTAATGGTTTTACAATTCAACTTAAATCAAAATGTTGTTTTCTTGAAAGGGAGGAAATTAAAAATTAAACTGTTGTAACTTCAACGCTTTCCAATTTCGTGATTTGTGCAGTTCACTAACAATATTTTCTGACTTCGATCTTTTACAAAGAGGTCGTATATCTAAACATTTGTTTCCTAAATAACAGCTTAGAACAAAGAGTAACTCACAAACGACATTGAAACCTGTGTGCGTGAGTTAAAAATATGCTCTCTTCGTTGAGTTCTCCGAGAAACAAGCAGCACGAAAACGCATTTTTCGGAGGGCATTGAACTACCTTGTCTTGGGACACAAAAACTGTTCGGTAGCTTTAGAGTCCCAAATGAATCTAGCATACTATGATACGGCCGAGCTCGCCACGAGGTTTCTGAAACTCAAGTATCAGAACGCGAAGTTGAAATTGGTAGGCGTTAGGAAGACTTTTCCTTTTATTCCACGGTCCAAAAAGTACTACATCTTCCTTTAATAGTTGATGAGTTGTTGAAAATATCGTTCATGAACATTTTAGGTCGTTTGCTTCCTAAGTTGTAATCGTTCAAAATATATCTCGTGTTTTCATTGAGATGATGATAAATAAGAGGGAGTATGAGTATGAAAGCAAGGGTTGGACTATTGACTTACGATTTAAGAAAAATATTTGTCAATGCCAAGAATCAAGGTTATTAAAGATACTAGATAAAATCATTTGTTTTTAGTCTACTTAATAACGATGCACAGCTTTACTATTTATCGTCTGGTGTCCAATAAGATAATGTGAATTTGGCAAAACGATGAACAGAGTAATGTAGTTCTGATGCAAGGATGACATGCATTGCATGATTGGTGAGCAACACCGATTTAGTTTGTCAGTGGCCATGCATACTCTTAACACTGATAGCATTCGCATTAACGGCTTTTCTGTATCCACGGAAATTTCTACTATTTCTATTTTAAATACGACATCTTCAGCAGATTTATCATTGCTATTGTGATCTGTTCTCTTTCCATTACTGCCAAAAACCTTAAAATTAGGACAATTTCCGAGTCGTTCTCAGAAAGATACCTATCTTTTAAGTAAATATATTTCAAAGCTTTGGTGTAACTTGGGATTAGTACACAGACTTTAGAATAAGCCCGTCTGATAAGTTTTTAAGAATATTTTTCGCGTTTGCGTCCTGCTACTCTCTTTTTTTTCTTCTTTTATTACATTTATTGTTTGAATTAATTTGAATCAATCTATGTAATTACTTGTCCCGTCGTGTTTTATTGCTCCGTTTTTCCGACTTGTTCGCCCTCTAATCTTCGAATCCTCAACAGCTAACAAATCATCCTGCCTTTATATCACGTCTTCGATCTTTCAAAAGAATAAACGCTCGCAAATTACGGACAAATAAAGGGGCGATAAATTTCATTTATCAAAGTACAACATTTCCTTTGGCAAGACAAAAGAAAGTCGTTCCCTTCGCTTATGTAGATGTAATGGCCATCTGTTGTTTTCACAGAATTCACGACTCTCGCAAATGAGAAGGAAACGAAAGAGTATTAATATATCTATAAAAACATTTTCTTTCGAATCTAGATTTCTAGCTTTCAACTGCTCCCAAAAAAAGGAAAAATTACGTAAAAACCGAAAGTAATCAAAACGTGGAGTAAGAATGTGAGCTAAGTAAACAAAAACATGTAGCTAGTTTCCCTCTCAACGTATCAAAATTTAATGACAGCGCAAATTGAAAAGTGTCCCTTGCTATTTCTTTTTTTAATCACGATGAATCACTTTCAACGAAAATGTCTTTGCGCCCGTATTGGCGTAACCGGTTCCGTTGAAAAATTTTCCTCTAGTTTAAGTCTGCCCTTCTGATCTACAACCATGTTGTGCTTATTAAACTGAAATTTTTGAGATTAATCCGAAGGAGATAATAAATTCTCACTAGCGAAAAGAGAGCAGTGGTATGTATATTTTTGAATATAAAAATCTCAGATGAAGACATCTAGAAAACACTCCCGATATCATTTTGAGGGTTTCCGAAATATTTTGTGGTTTCGCTAATCAGCGGGGCCCACTAACAAAAAGAAAGAATATTCGACGAACATGCTGCAAAAAATAAAGTTTGAAATTTTAATGAAATTCGAAACGGGCCAAATACCACCTTGTTATTTGCTAGGATTAAACAGCTTCCATATACTTAACATGATATTCCTGACATCTCGCACGCGCTATCAGCATCGCACATGTAGTAGAAGTGATTTGGGGGAATTCAGTTAATGAATCTTACTAATAAAGGAAACCGCAAATTTATGTTCTACAATAAAGTTATCCTTTTCGTTGTGTAGAAGATACTTCGATAACAACTTATAATCATACATAATGTTATTTTGGGTCACGTTTAACCGCCTTATTGGTACAGAGTAGCAAACTTATATTTACATACATACTTTATTGAGACTCCCTTCAACAGGGCTTTTCAGTCACAACGTGATGACACATTTACATCTTTTGAATTTTCAAAAGTTAAAAATGACCATATCCCTTTAACTAGATTCGAAACCAGAGTGCATACATAAGGATTTCCTACCTTTCTTCGATCTACAGTTTTTTAGGTAAAAGAAAGGAACTTAATGCCAACACCATGTCATTAAGAGAGTATCGACAGAAAGGGGCGGATCGAGAAGCACATCTAGGATGGAGAAACGGTTTGGAGATTCTCGAATTTTCAAACCAACAGCACGTTTTCTTTCATATTCCTTTTCTCTTCTCAGAGGTACCAAAGCCGTCAGAATTTCGCGTTTCAGTTTTCCTCGTTGTTAAATTGAAAATCTGAGACGTAAGTTCATCAATTTCCAGAGGAGATAAATTTAACGAAAGAACAATTACGAAGGAGCCAAAGGAAATTGCGCTTTGAATTCTTTTCAAATTGAGAAATACATTGTGGCACAGAAGACAATAAAATAATTATATAACCACATTAGTAATTTCGTCGAAAAAAAGTGAAGCATCTCATTTCAGCGTGTTTAATACACCACCACACACAAAGCCTCCCGGACTTTTGCTTTTTGTTGTTATGTGAAGAATTTTAAAAAGTCAGTTGTTTCCATCACGCGGTTGATGCAAACGATATAAAGAACACGGCAGCAGTTAGATTTTAAGTGTTTTCTTCCTCTATTACTTCGGTCTCTTTCTTTTTTTTTTTTTTTTTTTCTACACTTACTTTCCTTTTTAACACCTTTGGCGCATAATATCTTGAAAGAGTTGTCAAAAAAAAAAAAAAAAAAAAAAAAGGCGGTTGGAATCAACAGTTAAAATATTGGTCGAGTTTCGGAGCAACCCTAAATGCGTGAGAACAGTGCTCTTGGCCTAAAAGACACTCCGACGAACAAGCACTCTTAGGGGCGCCATTGTTTTCAAAAACGTCAAACTCCAATCTCATTAATGGTTAATTTTCTTTCTTTCGAGACTGAAATTGGAAATCATTGTCCTTAATTTATCAATTAAAATGAATCACCGTTTCAAGCGGAAGATGTTTCTTGTTATTCCTGTTGAATTTTCAAAGATAAGTTCTCTTTCCATTAGGTTCCTTTTAACACGCAAAAATCATCCCATCACGGGGCTAAACATTGTCTTATCTCTAATAAAATCGCTTAAAACATTTGGTGTATGAAGCACTCGACTTTTTCGAGTCATGAGATCCAATATCCCTTAAGGATCGCTCTTTGATCTCTTTCCCTCTTTGAAATGCTGCATTTGATTAACAGCAACTAATTTATTTAGAGGAACCACTTCAAACTTTCACCTAAAGATGCTCTGAGGAAATCATTTGTAAAGATAGGAAATTTTAATTGCATTAGTAATATCCGCTTCTTGCTCAAGGGCACCTAGAATGAACGATTTTCCCTGCACAGCTGATTAACGTAACCCAGTAACGATAGCATCCAAGCACACAAAACACAAGAGATCACCGATACAATATCATTTGAGTGAAAAAAAGCCACGCCTTTTAAGAGCAGAAATGCCGTCTCCTTTAACGAGTGGCCAGGGGCGGGAGATAAAAAGGGAGGTTTTGTTATTTCACTGAAAAAAGATCACAAGCGGATTTGCGTCTGCATTCCTTCTTTCAATTTCGAAATTCATTCTTTTAAAATAGATACATGCAGGCTTAGGCGTAAGGTTTCCATGATGAAACATTCTCTAGACTAAATTTATATATTAATTTGTTTTTAAAAGATTCAAATATACGCTTCTGTCTTTCGTGTGACCTTTCAAAGAGCAACTCAATCGAGATAGTATGAGTTGGAAAGGATAGTTAACCAAACTAGTTAAATATATTGTAGCTTCACTTCGGCGGAAACAGCAAACTTACAATATATTTAGTTGTCAATAACAAACGTTTTCTTACCGGATGAATGAAGTCTGGATCCAGTATGAAGGAGTTGAGGTCGTTTCGAGGTTAATAACTCTCCAGTGAATGATAGAGATATGTTGATTACCTACAGCTGGCAAAGAAAATATAATCACCATGATAATTAAAGAAATAAACTTTTAAAATGGAAATTCATAGGAAAAATGAAAAGTCTATGTACAGCGCCTAGCCACGAGTTTTTATTCAGTTTTTGGTCGTGTCTTGTGCAGTTATTTTTACAATCTACAAGGAATGAAGGATAGAGGCTACTAAACCCTCCCTAATAGCAGCCAATGAGCGTTTTGATCCCAAATCAATCTTACAAATGTTGTACTTTTAGCTTGATCATTACGTTCTCGGCCTTTTATTTCGTCTAGAAATTATGATTGCTGTGGCAGTTTTTACTTTTTTTTATCAAATTGAAGAAACACTTGAACAAATGTGGACAATTTTTGCCTCATCGACTTACTAGATCACATTCTCGTTTGAGCAAAATCACTACTAAAAGCCCCGCTTGTATTTCAAGAATAAGAGTATCGGGGTGTGCTGATTTTGCACATCTCGTTACTTTACTAACATTTTAATCCTCTTTGCTTTGCAAGTTAAAAAGAGAAGAATTGCTGACGGTAAAGCCATCAACTCACGATGAGAGAAGACTAGAGAAAACAAAAATGACAAAGTGGAGGTACTGAAAGTGGACTTATGATAAGTCACAAAAGTTACTGGCGAATTCTCTTTCATATATGGCAGTACCCTAATCGAGTAGTGGAGGTTTAAGACCTCATTCAATCACCATGTTGTGTTCTTAATCAAAACCCTTTACTCCTCAAGTGTGCATGCTTCTCTTTCCACAGGTTTGATACTTACAGCAAATCAATAAAGAGGCAACCTCAAAATATTCTGAATCATGACGTGTAACACTTCCTTGAACTAAAAAAACCGGATGGGAATGTCGAACTAACTCAAACATTGACATATTTCTTTTAATATAATTCTCCTCACTGGTCTTCATATATTTTCTAATGACAATTACGATGAGAATTTGTGAAAGACTGACGCAATTTCTCCTACGCGATTAGTTCTTCGATTCTTTAGACCTATACCTATAATGGTTCATTGCAAGGGAAAATCAAATGCAAATAAGTCTTGGGAGCTTTAAGGGCGAAAGCAACCTGGTTGAATAAAAGCTGGAAAAGTGACAACTTTCAACCCATAGGGATAGCAACTTTCGTAACCTTTTTCTACTTGTCTATAAGAAATGAATTATGATTATATTTACATGCCAGTGCTGCTTTCTCTCCTATCTCCCTCTGCTCTCCTAAAAGAGAATTGAAAGAAGTGGGTATTTAATTTCGTTCTGAGCGGTCTATTTTTCTGTTCGTCAAAGTACGAGGTGTTCCATACCCCGTTTTCATTCCCTAACGTTAGGGTTTAATTTCATTTCACTGATTTATTACAGACTATCTTTGATGCTGTCAGAAGGATGAGATCGTTAGAATTAAAACCTTGCATTCGAGCATCTGGTTGTATTTAGGAACAAGTGTGGAAAATGGTAAAAAGGGGAAATTACAAAATTGAATTCATGAAAAGAAAGCAAGGTTAATTAGCACATAAAAATAACTTTTAAGCACTGTAAAGAACGTGACACAAACGGTGGTGTCACAGCAAGTATCAGTTAATTAAATTGTGCTTCAATTCTACGAGATCCTGCTCCCTCACCAGCAAGAAGTGATTGGAATTGTAACGGATTACTCTTCCGGGATGCTGGTTTGATGTAGGGTTAAATCCTCAATTTCTTGGCACACATCACTTCTATTTCCCACAAGTATCAATTGTCTCTAGTGCAGCTTTTGCATACCTAAACAAGGAGGTGTCTTGTTCTGAGAAACACGGAATAAAAGAGAAGCACGTACCGGAGAATTAACACAGCCAAATTTCAAGTTCCTTTCACCAAACATCTTTCAACCACCACGCCAAAGCATGGTATCGGTATTTAGTATCGGGCAGGTTTCTTATATCAGAATAAAATCCAATGATGAAGAAATATGAAAATATAAAATGATTGACTTTATTATAATGTGATACACACGTGGTACGTTTTACAGTTTCGTTTTGTATGATTAAGGGTTATTTGTCAAAAACCCTTTATCTCTCAGCCCGCTGACTGAAGAAAGCTAAGAATTTTGTACAAGATCAGTTTATTTTCTTTACTTGCATATCCGATAGAGAGAGTCACAACCAACTACCGGCACAAGTTTATACGCTTATATATTGGGCTCTCAAGGCCACTACCTTTAAGTGCAAGGGAACCGGAAAACGACAGAAACATGTAAACGCTATAGAAATATTTGTATGTTTTACTGTATCAGTGCATCAACTGAGAAAAGCACATGTATTACATCGATAATGTAGTCAGTATTCGCCCTGTAAGGAAATAGTCTGGCGAAACTCCTTGATAGATACATTTAACCACTTTCATTTTGCAGAACAGTATTTATATCAAGATGGATCTCTCAATTTGACTTCGAATAATTTAATAAATCAACCACTCGACGTTTGCACGAACTGCTCAGAAAATCATTTTTTCAACTACGTCGTTCACTTGATGCAAATGGTTGAAATAAGGCCTGCATTAAAATTTTACACTAAAGATCTCATACAACAATAAACAAGTGACGCTTCGTACACAGAAAGGTCCTGGATGATCTTTCTCACTCTGGAGGCTACGCTTATCAATGAGTTAGATTTCATTTCATATTTATCTAGAAGAGTCTTGTATGCCTCTTATGTAAGGGAACCACATATTTTGCAGGGTTTTGTAATGTGACAAATCCAAGCGGAATGTTGGGAAAACACGAGAAAAGCTGTCAGTTGCAATTGATTTACAAGCTTTTCGCGTTTTATTGTCATAAAAAAAAAAGCGGTTTGTTAGTGACACAAAAAAAACACTAACTCTGATTTAGTTTATTTAGTTGCTAGTTCTCGGAAAACCAATGAAAAAGGGTAATCAATTCATGATAAAGTAATCAAAGCTGCCCAAAATACGCACTGCCGGTGAGAAGTGCTAAGAGCACAACGTCTAAATGAATGATATGGCACCAAGAACCCAGCCAGAAAATATAAAAACTGAAGAAGTATGCACGCAGAATGAAAGTACAAGCTCTAATTAATAAGATTTCCTCAATTTTGACAAGGCATAGGGCGTGAACTTTGGGGTCAGAAATGGTCTGCCACAGCGATAGTAAACTAACGCATAGTAAAGTTTCCAAGCCTAAAACACAATTTTCAGTGTTTATGGAAGCTTTTTTTATGGGATAGATCTCAGTTGGTTAGGTTTCAGTCATGAAATGTGAACGCAGTTTTACCTGTCGTCAACCTATTTTTAGACTCGCGATCAATTGTTTTCTCGTTACTTAAAATTATTTGTCACTGCCTTTCCTTTAATCAAAGCTTTCACAGAGTCATCTCTAGAATCCAAAGCGAGTTCTATAAATGCTGAAACCTGTCAAAAACAACCTACATAGTGAACACACAAGAAAATTTTCACGAACTTTAGTATTAAGAAGCCGCGTTGATGAGAGTCACTTTATGCTCTTCGTTCCCAAGTAAATAAGATTTTTAAAAGAATTCTGAATGAATGTTATTCTAAATCATTGCCACTAGCTTTGTTAAGCGCAAAAGTTGGGAACAATTGTTATCTGGTCGGAAATTTGGTAGACATCAAGCTAATTCGCGTTTACCGCCGAGCAAAGTAGAGTGGTTTAGCAAGAGAACGGGAACGTCATTTCAGAACGGCGCGCGCAGCAACAATGTCGATAAGAAACTGGGTCGAGAACGCCGT